ATGTGTAGTTAGCAAATAATGCTGCTCTGTTTATATATGGTACAAGGAAGATTCTGAACCTGTAACACCCAAGCACCGAGAAAAATGTAAAAAAAAAAAAATCCATTTCTTAACGAAAATTTAACACATTAGATTTGAACCAACTAATTGATGTTGTCAAATTAAAATTAACTTTATTCCAATATGTTTTTATTTCTACAACAGACACCAATTACGCATTACTTCGATAAAACACAACGATGGGAATGAGGAATTAGTTTAATTCCAAATCTCAACGCTAGAACATGTGGCGCTACAGTGTTTAAAGTTACAAGGTTAAATATAATGCTGTGAAATACAGGTCTACTGACACTGCTGTAGCATAAATTCCCGCTGCTTTATTGGCGAACAACACGAGTCTAGGGCTTTTTTCTCTTGCCTACTTATTCTTCGACCTATACCAAATAATTCACTCCAAAATTCGGCTATTTGTTCTTATACCATGCTCGTGTTTATCAAACGTCAGTATAACGAATAAAACGACACACTTGCCATAACTTAAAGTTAATACTTCTTGCTTACGTTTAGAGCTGTACGAAAGCATTTTAAAAATTGAGAACATTACTTAAAGTTGATGAAATAAAATACATTAAAGGGTTTCATAAATGTTTTTTGTTGTTATTTTTTAATTTCAATAAAAACTGTAAAGCAATGGTTTTGACTTCCCTTGTCTATTTCTTAAGAAGAACGATATTTTGGCTCATCATTAAAACCGAAACATGTCAACACTATTTCCTTCGAAACAACTACGAAGAAGGTTCAATTTAATCATAAAATAAGCCACCAAACTCTTATTTTCAACTTTAGATTCCATCCAAAATAGTTTCTTAATTTTGACATCTTGAGAAACTTGAACGTACATCATCACAATAACAGCTGAAAAAAGCTTTATAAAGAAACCTAAAAGGTGAAATAAGGCAAGAAACACGAAAGTAATAAAACATGCACATTCTCTAAACAGTCTAAAGTAAAATCTAGTGAGTACTTAAAACGATCTGTAGTATGTCACATTATATAGTTATAAATTAAACTGTCATAAAAAATCTTACTTTTTACAGGCTACCCTCTGTGAATGTGGGGCAGAAGAGTCGTCTATATCAGATGTATCTGAAAAATTCCCCAGAAGTTCGTGCGCAGAAGCTGAACCTGAAGAAGCGGTTTTCTTTACTCTCTTAACGAGTTTTCCGTTCGAAACGAGAGCGTCGAGCTCCTTACGCTTCTTCATCTTTTTATTAGGTGGTTTTTCATGAACATCGAGGCAGTTTGGTGTATCCAGGGCGACCGAAATCGTGGTTAAAATTTTCTGACTTAAATTACAACATTAAATTTAGCTCTAAATGCTTGCTGGCGACTACTATTATATTACAATGGCTCACTTTTCCTACAATTTATGGTTTATCGCGAATTTCGTATTTTACATCATTTACGACTTCTTGAACACGACTATGATTTTCTTCACTGCAACAATAGAACCACACATCTTGTTTTGATAAACCAACCAATTTTCTGGCCCCTCTTTTTACGTTATAAACATTCCTCTCTCCAGTAACTGAAGTCTACTAAAAACACAAGTTGTGCTTCTAGCTAGCTCACGACAACCAACCAAACATGACGTAAAACAAATGCGCACTAACGGTACTAAATCTTATCATTACTGTCGCCCTCTAGTGAGGGATGTCTAAACAAAGAAATGTAACGACTTCTTTCAACACTCTCATATCAAGTAATAACATACTATACACAAAAAACGTCAGGTGTAAATCGAAAATGCAAACATAATTTTAATAATGAAATCTTAATTATCACATTTCAACGCTGTATGTTTCCACAAACAGTATTACAAAAACGATAGAATCAAAATCTCTAATTTCTTATGATAAAAAGATTTCAGATAAATAATTAAAACTGGGTGCATAAATTTTAAGTGTAATTACAAAGCCTAATATTATGTTAAAAAATCAAACTGTGGAATGAAAATGCACTTGTGTAATAACTTGTACCAGAAGAGCTGTTAAAATTGTACAATAGTAATAATAATTACAGTTAATAATAATCTTAATTATGAGTAACAGACAAAGTGCATAGAGCTTCTTCTATCACCTGTCAGGGGTCATCAGTTGGGTACCTTAACTGTTAGTGATGTTTTAAGATAATAAAATTGTCTACTTATTTAGAAATAATTCTAATTTCACTTAGGTTGATAGAAAACCTTCTATACTTAGATTCAAAGAACCAAAAACAATAAAATAAACATGTAAAAATTAATCGATATTTACCATCTAATAAATATGCGTGTTTATTCCCTCATAAATCCTTAGTATTTAATATCCCATAATTACATAATGGTTTTAATTTTCTATATCTGTATATTGTGCTTACTAAACAAAATCTCATAGTATATTTTTATCCCATTTCCTAATCTCTTTTTACAATCTATGATATAATGTGTTTAATAACTCATCATCAATTTGTGTTTACTATTCCATGATCTAATTTGTTTAGTATCTCATACCCTAATCTGTATTTATTAACCTTTAATCACAAAATTCAATACACAATAACTACTATTAAATATTCTTCACCTGCAACAACATTATGATGACCATGATTAAGTATTATTATTGTCAAGTCAGCCCTTACAGTGCTCTCATGTTGAATCTGATAAGAAGTTTGCCTCACAAATTCACATTTGCCACAGGGCTTTCAAAAATTTAAACTCAGTTTTCTTTTGTACCATATGGATTAGAAAGATGGTATTGTACTTACTGAAAGTTAGAAAAAATATTAAACTGGGAACCTAAAATTTTAATACGGGGACTACCAAAAGGGGACAAAATTGATAGGCACGATTCAGTGGATCTGTTGTCCCTCAAAACATGATAATTTATTCAAGAACAGGTTTGAAACTGTGCCAAGAGTCAAGGAAAAATTAGAAGTTGCACACCATTTCTTTTAAAAAAAAAATGAAAGAAAAGTGGTAATTCAGAACATTTAAATTACCTGGTAAAACAAAATAAATATATAACCGGCATCAAACATTATCAATTAAATTCTTCTTACAGTGAAACAGACAATATCTTAACTAGAAAAGTACTTAAAAGTAATATTATACACTGAATTAGAAGAAGCTTGAATGTGAGGCTTAGACTGTCACCAGACTGGTTCAACAACAAAGATCCAGAAATAAGAACATGATCTTTGAACTGCATAAACTTACCTGTAATATAAAAAGATTATTCACTAAACAAACTTGGCATGAGGGGAGAAATAAGCATGATTACTATACGGCTTTACAACTTACATTTGACACCATTTTGATTTTATATGCAAACTTAAGACAACAGGCTTGTCATCTGGCTAAATTTAGTAAAACTTTGCAACAACTTGACCATTTTGTGTCTGTGCTCATTGATCCTGAAATCAAAATTTGTGCACAACTATGAACTGGAAACTTACCAAGGTTTGAAATGATAAGTAGCATTAAAATGAGTTTAATCCTCACAGTATATTTACCTTGATAATAAACCTTTGGAGCAGGTTTACATTTATGAACAGCTATGACCTAAATCTATAACTTAAAGAAGTTTTGCAACAATTAACCAAAGAGTATATAAAATTCCTTAACCCTTTCACAGAGGCTGGTACATATATTTTGCAGTTCTCCCACCACCTCACACTGCAACTGGGACAAATGTTTTTCATTGTCATTTAAAATTGAAGTGCATGAAGTATGGGAGTAAAATGGGTTGGAAAGTATTATTGGCATTCCGCCTAATGTTGGTAATGGTTTCCCTCAATGTTTTCCACTTGTCCCTCAGTAACCAACAAGATGTCTAAACATAAATAATGTATGACAACTGCGTGGTAACCATGCCCGCATGACTAGAGCAATGAAGAGTAACCCTAATAACTGTATAAATATGCTTGATGCACTTGACTCCGATAGCATAGAAGACAGTGAAAGTGAGACAAGTGGTGTTCAAATGTGTGATGATGAGGCAATGAGACAAGAGGATGCTAGCTCCACATCTAGTGATGACAGTCAAGATGATGAACCAGGACCCAGCAGAGGAAAGCATAAACAGCATCAACAATGGGAAACATTTGTCACAGTGTGAGGGGGTGAGAGCACTGGAAAATATATACATCCCAGCTGCAATGAATGGGTTAAAATCCTGTATGAGCAGGTTAAGAAACAGTCAAATACATACAGAGAAACATTTAAATGTAATGAGATTATCTCAAACAAAACACAGTCATTTTTCCTTTAGTAATGATTATGTCCACTAACCACAGAACAAATGAAATTCACACAGAGAATCAAATTAAACTATATGGTTAAATATCCACTAGTAACCCCTAATTTTAAAGAGGGTAGGGTACAGTTCAGTTGGACTAATAATCAACTTGAGTTATACATCTCTATACTACAGATGTACCAAACCTTACTATAAAGTTTAATAAATTGTATAATTCTACATTATGAGAAGCTAGTTTTATAATAAACACTGCTTTAAAATATGGGACAGCAATAAAAAAAAAAGAGAAAGAGAGAGAGAAGACAATTATAATAATTCTACCAAACATAACTGAGAAAATTCAAATATTCACAAATTAAAATGACAATATACTTGTGCAGCTAGAAATTAAACTATGGGGAAATAAAAAAAAATGACGTCAATAATGTAACAACAAAAATTAATATTTTTAACCCTAAGGATAGTAATTGGATCCTATTAGTGGATAAATGTTTAAGTCACATACACTTCATGTGAAGTAAGTACACGTGTTTCTTCAATGTTGGCAGCCTAGGCACCATTAGTTAAGGTTGATTATGAGGTGGAAAGGGAAACTGATTAGAAACATACCTATGTAAAATGGCAAGTGAAACTATATTAAAGTTTTATTACTTATTCTATAAACTATATTATAATACTAAAAACACAAATGATTTTTCTTACCCACACTAAAGTGACTCTTAAGTTCTTGAACATGAGAGTTTAGGTTTACTACAAACCAAACTTGAATTATTACAACAATGGCCAAGACTAAAAGTGAAATCAACTTTATTCCTTGGGTACACTGAGAATTACCCCATCCTTTCTTCCACTGAGGCACTTGCTTAGGTCCAGGACAGAATTTTCTAAAGAGAATATCAAGAATTTAATAACCTGTAGTTGATTAAAAAAATAGGTGCTACTATAGCATGTGGTCTACCGCAATATCCATAGTCTACCAAGACCCACCGGACCATATTACCCCTACCCCAGAGGGATCATAGAAGACCCCACATGACCTGTCTATTTAACTAAGTGTAAAAGTCTCGGTAGACCGCACGCTATAGTAGCACCAAAAAATATATACATCTTTAGAATTTGTTAATTTCTATTGGTCGTAATAGAGTATAATTAAATCACTTTGATTAACCTGCAGAAGAAAAGATCTACAGATAAATTATGTGAAAAACATGCATCAAATGATACCCATTATTTTCAATGTTTTAACCCTTTTGGCACACTGTTCACTGTATAGTGGCCATATTGGAAGTGTGACATCATCAGATATGCGGATTAGGTCAAATTATGCAAATAATTTGAGTCTTCAGGTTATACTGAACAATTGTTTCCATGTTTGTCATGGGTTATTTCAAATTGTTTTAGAGGTACACTTGATCTAATTAGACATGTATATAAACTTGAATATACTAAAAAAAATGCGTGCCTAAAAGGTTAAAGTGTGGTTACGATGTTCAACAGGATCATTATGATACTGGTGAACAGAATGTCCTTCTTCTGCTAATTCTTTTTTTTTTCTTTAAAAAAAAAGGTGGTATTGTAAGAATGTAGATGTAAGAACAACCAAAGTAATAAAACACAACTTGGTTCATCACATTCTTAATTCCTAGACAACAACCCACTTAACTATAACTTTTCACATACCCAACATAAATTAACTCAAAGCACAAGCAAGCTATTCTTCAAATTAACTACTATATCAGAAGTTGTTACAAAATTTGTAAGAAAATGCTCTCCCAATCCACTAGGTTATCATACTTTTGCTTGGAGAACTTCTTGAAAATACAGAGACTTGATGAGATTCATGCTAAAGCAATTCTGTAGAATGTGACTGGTACAACTCCTGAAAGACCTGCTCTAAAACCTATGTTATTCATTATCTATGCTAATGATTAGGATAGCTTTATGAAAAATTAATTTTTCCAAGTTGCTGATATGTTAAGAAGGAGTGGTTCCAGCAAAAATGTTTCTTTAATTCATAAGAATTTTGGAAGTTTCAGTATTCAGGCCAGAATGCTTAAAATGGGTCTTAATATTCAGAAATATAAAGTTATGCACTTAGGAGTATGAAAAAATTGGAATGGACTTATTGCTTGTCCAAGAGAATCAATAGTGTTGAAGCAAAAGTAAAAATATCTAAATGTGATTGCTGACAATGACTTAAAACCCTTTAATGAGCTTAAGTTATGATGAAAAATGAGCAAATAAGCTACTTTATTCTACTTAGAGGCATCTAAAATTTAAGAGTAAAAGATTATTTAATACACTAGTAAAGCTTCATTTAGGCTCTTTAAAATACTGGCTGTATGCAGCTTTGATCTTCTTACCAAAGGATGAATATCAGCACATGGAAAAAAAAAAAAGAGTGCACACACGATCAGTAATACCTGATTCGGTACTTTTCCATTATACCACTGCAATTTTCATAACTTTTCCGTTATACAATAAATATTATATACAATAAATTATATAGTAAATATTATATATATAAATTACATAATATACAAGTTATACAAATTATGTAGTAAATGTCCATAATAAATTTCTAAAAATATATTAATAAGCATTGTATTCATATAGTAAAAACTTACCATTTGCCGGGGTATAACAGAAAAGTATCCCTGGTTCAAATAATTTGAAATACAATAAGAAAATTAAAAGTTTTTATTTAATTTTTTTACTGAACAAGCTAGAATTACATACACTTAAAATGTTCATAGTTGTTAAGGAAATAAACAGCCTATACATAGATGTTTTGTTTGAGTGACATACTGATATTGTGTGCAGTTTTGATCTCTTATGTTAGAAAAGATTTCAGAGGTTATCAGGATAATTCCAAGAATGGAAGAATTATTTTACAAGAACAGTTTAAGACCTTGACAAAAGAATGGTAAGAAGTTAAGTTATTAAAGTTTGATATATTATCCAGGGGATTCAAAGATAAAAACCCCCTTTTTTATTTTATCTGTGCTGAATTCTGAAGACAACAAATGTTTAAAATCTGGAAGAAAAGCAGAACTATTTCAACTGGAGCCTAGCCTATTTTTCTAACAGGGTGATTAATTTATGAAACAAGTTGCCAACAGCAAAAGCACATGGTGACTGGCACCTTACAAGAATTTAAACAGGAAATCGATAATTTCCTGTAAAATATGTTGAATTTTTACTTTTCTTAGAGATAGGTGTGCAGGTACAACCTTGAAGTACCAAGTTATTTTCCAAATTCTTTGTTGCATAACACAAACAGGGGTAGCAATATTAAGCTTCTCAAAAACTTAGATATTTGCTTGTTTTGTTTTTCAAGACATTACTTTTTGTCTCAACTTAGTATTGAGTCAATAATTTGTGGTACGATTTATCTGATGCAAGCTGTTGGTTTTAATTTCTTTAAACTTTGTTGGATAGGTATATGCAATTAGACGTGAAAGGTTACATTTAATTTAGTTTCATGTTTTGTTAGTTGTTTTTGTAAGTAGGTGTGACCTTCAATAGCCAAATGGGTATTGTAAATCATTCTTTTCACGTGAGGTGACACGACACGAATAAAATTACTTACTTTTTATTTTTAGATCGAAGTTTGCGCTTCGTGACCGAAAAATCAGGAATGCTCTCTTCTGAGTCACTCGCAAGATCAGATATCTCCAAAAAATTCGAGACTTCAGTATTTTTATTTATACTGGTTGATCTTTTTGTATTTTTCTTTATAAGTTTTACTTCATTCCAATTTTGAAGAACAAATTCTTGTGACATCGTATTGTTTTTAATTCAATTTGTGACACCTAAACTTAGAGAATTCAGACCTAACTCAAAAAGGATGAACATTTTTTGAAAATGAACATTTTTAATTCACACAAACTAACTTTAATTAAAGTTTAATTTGCATAAATACTTAAAAATCGGATATCGTTTCAAAATTAACAGCATAGTAAAATAACATAATTTTGATTGGACTTATTTAACAAGTATTAAGTAACAAATATTATAAACGCAATTCAAATTCATTGACTTGTTTAAGGCACAGATGAACTTCTTCTACCGCTCCTCCACAACACAACAAATATTTACTAACTCTTCGATCACTAACTTCAACAGTTGCACTCACATCGTTTTTGCAACACTGTTTTTATGTTAGGCCCTCTAGTGTTGTTATTCATAGATAATCCATGATAATCAGAAAATACCTGATTTATATAATACTTTCATACAGTGTCAGGGTTTTATATGTGAATAAGGCTTTGATTCTTCTACAGTTGGTGTCTGTAACTTGTTGGCGATAAAATCGAACAATAAATGGACAGCACACAATCCACTTGTTTTAAAATAATATATATTCAAAACAAGTCAAACGCATGTACAAAATTTTTTTACACTATAGGATACTTATTTGTTTATTTGTTTGTGATTAAGCACAAAGCTACACAATGGGCTATCTGTGCTCTGCCCACAACGGGTATCGAAATCCGGATTCAGGCGTTGTAAGTCCGCAGACATACCGCTGTGCCACTGAGGGCCACTATAGGATACCACAGTTGTATCTAAAAATCTAAATAATTCTCTTTTCTCGTCAAACGTCCACACAGTCTGATTCAATTATTTTAGAATCCAACTGACGAAACGAATTATTTTTCTTTGTTCTGTTTCTTACTATACCATATGTGATAAATATATTCACGTTACCTCGAGAGTTACCACAATTGTATCTCGAACTTTAAATAATTGTTTCCTTTCGTCATAGTCCACACAGACGGGTTCAATTACTTTAGAAAACCTTTTGACAAGACAAAGTATTCTCCTTATCTCTGTTAGACTGTGAAACTTACTTTAGAATATCACCCGTTAAGGCTAATCACTCATACGCCAGTTAAGTTCGCGTTTTCTTTCACTAAGTAACTTTTCTCTGAGTGTACTTTACTTTAATTTCATTTAACTTTCTCTCGTTCGGTCACTTATATATATACATATATACCCTGCCCAACTGAGGCTTGGAATTTTCTACAACCTAGGACATGCTATAATGTAAGAATACTCACTTGGTGAGAAAAATACCGAAGGTTCGAGTAACGTGACGCCAACAATATTACTAAAACCTAGTACAACAATCAACTTCATACATAATGTACTTAAGACTTGTACAGAGTTACGTAACGAAATTTGTCACAATTAACACTTTTAAAACAATCAACCTTCAACACTCCCGCTATGAAACCCAAACAATCATTAAATATTAAATCACAAAACAAATGAAATAATACCCCGAATACTAAATAGTCTTGTGTATCCAATGTACAGAAGTAACCCAAAACCTGGCTGAACGTGAAATTCTGTATCAGCTACATCAGTGTTTCTTAATCACCGGTCTGTTCCGTGGGATTTCACGAAAACAAACAAACAAAAACTGACAGAATACTGTTATACAAATCGTAATAATTTTTCGTTGTATTTGCATTTTAGTGGTCTGAGACACTTTATGGAAGCAGCGAGTCGATCTCTGGTACCGAAAAAGTTGAGAAACACTGAGATATATCACATTATTGTACATATTTAAAACTCTTAAAATGACCTATATTTAATATATCTATTTTTATTATTTTGAGCTTATTATTATATATTTATTTATTTATTTCAATTGTTCTATAAATATGTGAATTTTAGACTAATTACGTCTCCTAGCTGATCACACCTCATGAGATATGTTGGAATTGCAGCAGAAAATGTTGTTAACCCAGTGGGTATCCCATTGATGAAACAATGCATTCTAATCATTATAAGTAATAAGTAAGAACATTATGTTAAATTAGCTATATTTATCACTGGGTTGATTCTTAGTTCTGATGTGTGGTGTTGGTTAGTTGTTCTGATAAGAAGTACAAATTAATTTATCTTTCCAAAAATTAACATGAAATACTTGATATTGTTAACAATTTTAAAAGTTAGCAAAGCAAACGCTTGTACCATGGGTTGCTTGCTGACAGCTACTTGGTTTGGTTGCTTTTAAGCACTACGACTAAATGCTAGTCTTAATTTAGTACGTGAGGATGTGCAGATTGGCTGGTTGGACTTGAGGGATCAGTTCAGTGGAAAAAGGAAGCTTTTTGGAATGGATGGTTTGTATTTAAATAAGATAGGGGCTGGCTTGTTTGCTATGGCTACTAATTCAGATGTAAGGGAAGTTTTAAACTAGGACTAGGCCGTGGTGAGGGCCAGGAAAAGCTACATGCAAAGAAAATAAGAGGCAGAGAACAGTTTAGCATAGGAAATTAGAATAAAAGTAAAAAAAAATCATAAATAATATTCAACGTTAAACTGGTGTAGAACAGGTTAAATATACTCTGGCTAGAACTGGTGTAGAACAGGTTAAGTATAACCTGGCTAGAAATGGTGTAGAACAGGTTGAATTAAAATCATTTTATTTAGGCCTATCTATGGCCTAAATAAAATGTTTTTAATTGTGAACCAGTTTAACGTTAAATATTATTTATGATTTTAACTTTATACACAAGTGCCAAAATACTATAATTATGAATATAAAAGTAGTTATAAGTATAGGCTTAATTGTTACTATTGTAATGCTAGGAGTATAAGAAATAAAATATATTACTTTAGAGCACTGGTAGGAAAGGAGGATTTTGATATAATGGGAATAACTGAAACATGGTTAAACGTAGATGATTTTG